ATGGGGGGAAAAAAGAGGAACAACTGTAATAATCTGAAAAATAAAGATTTAATTAAAAAAATAATGTCTTTCTTGGTTCTAAGCTGTGTTCTGGATGGTTGGGGTTTCTGGATCAGTCACCTCTGTGTCAGTAATGAGTTTCTGTCATTTGTTAATGCACATTCATTCTACAGCTTTAGCAAGAGGTTTGAGTAGGGTGGGGTAATGGGGATACAGGATCCTTTTTTATCTCCATTTCCCAGAGGAGCAGCATGATTCTCCAGATGGAAAAACTTTCAGCAGTACCTGATGTTTATCCTCTGAGCTAATACCTAAATTCCAAAGTGCACAAATGCCAGAAGAGCGTTTGCTAAAACTACTCCATGCCTCCCACCCTGGAAGAATGACAGAACATGAAGATGTGGTGGTCTTTACTGAACAATAATAGGACTGCTTATCACTAGAAGGGACATTGGGAATACCCCTTTATATACAAAAAAGAAACAGGCCCAGAGAGAGACAGTGACTTGCCAAATATCACACCACTCATCTAGTTGCCATTCGGTACAGACCAACTGGCAAAACCTTTTTAAAAAAATGACAGTAGTAGAATGGCTATCATCAACAAAACAAACGACAAGTGCTGGCAAGGATGTGGAGAAAAAGGAACTCTGCACTGCTGGTGGGAATCCAGACTGGTGCAGCCACTATGGAAGACAGTATGGAGTTTCCTCAAAAAGTTAAAAATGGAACTCCCATTTGACCCAGTAGTCCCACTTCTAAGACTATGTCCCAAGAAACCAGAAACACAAATCAGAAAGGATATATGCACCCCTATGTTCATAGCAGCACAATTCACCATAGCTAAGATTTGGAAACAGCCTAAGTGCCCATCAGCAGATGAGTGGATTAAAAAACTATGGTGCAGCTACACAATGGAATACTACGCCACTATGAAAAAGGAACTTTTACCATTTGCAACAGCATGGATGGAACTGGAGAGCATTATGCTAAGCAAAATAAGCCAGTCAGAGAAAGATAAATATCACATGATCTCACTCATATGTGGGATATAATGATCAACATAATTT